CTTTATATCTATCCCTCCATCTTTCTTTCAATATCTATCCCTACTACAGAATCGGCTTCTACACTAGACAGAGTCCAGTCTCTTGCTTTCTCCTTATTTCTCCAGAATATTCGCCGACGCTGCCCCACCTTCCAGGGACCCTCCAAATCTCTTTTGGGGGGCTGGCCCCCCATACCCATGCCCTTTCTCGTCACCCCCTGGGCTGCGGACCGGACGGAGCTCTGTTTGTCAGCCTCTGCCCCAAGGAGACTGCCCGTCCTTCAAAACCTGCTCACATCCTACCTCCTGCAGGCAGCCTTCCAGGACCAGCCCAGCCATGGGGCCCTCCAAGTGGCCCTAGCTCCCATGTGGTTACTGCTTTCTCCAGCAGTTCTGGAGACATGCACACCGAGGTAGAGAGAGACAGAGACAGAGAGAGACAGAAATAAGAGGAGAGAGATGGAGACAGACAGGAAGGAGACAGAGAGAGATGGAGAGAGAGAGGGAGAGACAGAGATGGCGAAGGGGTAGGAGACATCAAAGAGAAACGGGGGCAGGGGACCGAAGCTACCCGTCCTGGCGGCCGCCCATGTGACCCTGAGTGCCTCACACCTGCCACCAGTGTGTCCACAAACCCCTGGCTCCCGCTGGCCGTGGAGACCGCACCACGGCAGTTGCTCTGGTGACACATATTTTCCAAGGGAAAGAATGTTCTTTCTTGGGTGAGAACCTGCATATGCTTTGGGCCCGGGGAGAGGACTTGCAAGGAAGCCAGCCCCAGGGTGGGTGGGATCGCTGCCCCATCCTGGTTGGTGACACTGCTGTGTCCGGGCTCTGCGGAGATGGGCATTCTTGGATGCATGCGTGCCCACGCCCACCTGCTGTCAATCACCCACAAGCCTAGCCTCGCTGGACCCAAGAGGCACCGAGGAGGAGGCTGCACCAGGCAGGAGGACAGTGGGGCCTGCCTGGGAGCGGAGGCCAGGTGGGGTCATGGCGCCTGCCTGGTGGAGGCTGAGCCCACGGGCCCTCCCTGGACCCCTGCAGAGCAAACAGGATATCTCCAGATACATGAACAGACCCCACCAGCTCTGCGATCAGGGCCCACAGTGCTCTCGGGACTCAGCATGGGTCAGGGTCATCCGGGACAATGCAGAAGCCAAGGTCCCCCCCGCCGCCACACCCCGAGACTCTGGATCCGGGGGTCTGGTGCGGGGCCCGGGAGTCAGCATTATAGGCCGACTGCCCCAGGTAGTTTCTAATGCCCGTGCTGTGGCCAGGCTTTGAGAGACTCCAGGCCTGGAGAGGTCAACAGGGAAAGGATGTCTCAGTTGAACGTCTGAGTCTTGTCTCAGCCATGGTGCTGGGAGCCCAGCCAAGGGCTGTGTGATGAGGACAGAGCCCCAAAGTGGCCCAGGGGGCCCAGTGTGGCCGGGGGTCTCTGCAGGGCTGGCAGGGGGCCCCATCCAGCCAGCCAGACGCAGGGCCGTCCTGCGTCAGCCTGCTGACCCGTGTTGGAGATTATTTCAAACTCTTTGCTTAGCGATGTTTAAAGCATCCGTGATCTGTAGAATCAAACAGGAAAAAGCTGACCTACTCTGGAAGGACAGAAGGGGACGGGCGCCTTGGGTGACCTCAGTCCCCTAACCCCCTCAAGCGTCACCCTCCGGCCAGGCCAGCCACAGGCACTCAGTGGTCCCTCCCCCCAGCCCGACACGCGCTCTGGGTCTGTAAAGCATTCGAGGGGCTGTCCAGGCGGGAAGCACCCACATCCCTGAAGAGGGGTGGCCGGGATTGGCCATGCACGTGGGCCCTGGAGCCCGGCTGCTGGCGGGGCGGCCCTGGGCGCTCCTCCCGTGCCTTGGTTGCCCCGAGCAAAGACTGGGGCCTTTTAGACTAACTGCCTCCCAGGATGGGCGTGAGGGCTCAAGCGAGGCCCCACAGGAAAGCCCTTGGGCGGGGAGTGAGCTCGCGGTCCCTGCGAGGACTGGTGACCCTCTGTGCCCTTCTCGAAGCAGCCCTGAGTGGGGGTGTCTGAGCGCAGAGGTGGGTGTGTGCGTTTCCCCGTCGGTGTCCAGGTGTCACCACAACATTGCAAGATGCCCCTCATCACACCCCACAGGGGGACCGGAGAGGAGCAGATCCCTTCGTGAGCGTGAACTTGGCTTTGACCCACCTCCCGGATGCCTCCTCACTGAACCTTCATCACAGCCCCTGGGGGGGAGGAGGGGTCTCACCCGCATTTCGGCCACGAGGAAAGGAAGGAAGAGTGGGTGGGCAGCTCCTCCATGCGCAAGGAGGGGAAGCCGAGACTTAACTGGGGGACTGTAAGCTCCCACTTCCTCAATCCCCGAGGGAGAAGGCGCCGGCTTCGGGGGGCTGGGTTCTCCCTCCAGGGGCCAGGCACCTGGCCCAGAGCCCAGAGTGCCATTTACACCCCTGGACCTCGCCTCGTCCTCCCTCTCGTGGGGGTCCCCGCATCCCTGCCCATGGAGACGTGAGGAGGGCGCCATCTCTCTCCAGCCCACCAGACTGTGGTCCCTGGACCATGTGGGCTGCTGCCAGCACTGTCCCCGCCCTTGGCAGGAGGGCACCTCTGTGCTGCCATCCACAGTCAGACTCAACCTCATCTGACAGGCCCGATGTCCCCACAGTGACCGCCCACGTGCTTGTCTCCCGGGTGGATGCTTCGCCCCTGCACCCTCATCCCCGGCGCCTCTGCTTGGCAGTTCCAAAGGCACTCATACGCAACAGCCCCACATGCCAGATCCGGGATCTTTCCCGGGCCAGCAGCCCTGGGATCCTCCCCTCTTCCTCCTCCTCCAAGCCTCCTTCCTTCCTCCTCCTCCTCCTCCAAGCCGCCGGTCACTGAGGCTGGGGGATTTCACCTCCCAAACATTCCTCAGAGCCATACACCTCTCTTGGTCTCCACCAACGGCCTGATCTAACCCACAGGCCTTTCTCACTGGGACCCGTGCAAAACCCCGTCTACCCGAGCCCAGCAGGAGTCCCTGCCAGGGAGGGCCGGAGTGCCACGTGCCCCTCCCCACCCCCTGGAGTCCCGCTCTCTGGCATTCTCGCTCCGGCCATCAGCCAAGTCAGAAATGCACCCGGGCTCTCGGGAAGCCGGCTTCGGAGGCAACACAGAGAGAGACGGAGAGGCTTTTAAAGGGGAAGAATGCTCGGGGGAATGTGAGCGTCTCAGAAGAGAACTCTCGGGAGTCCATCTCGGACCACCCTCGGGGGGAATGGAGTCACCACGAAGAAGGAATGTGGCACAGGGACCGCTCTGAAGAGCCCGGGTTTCAGAACCATGCCCAGGAGTGGAAGGAGGCCCCTAGAGCCCTAACGGAGGGTGGATTCAGAGACAAGCAGCACATCTGGCTAACCCAAAGGAGCAGGGTCCGTGAAGCCCCCCTGCAAGTTTCCAAGGGGCATTAGAGGGGCATAAGCTTGGCAGTGGGCATCAGGCAGGCGACAGCCCCTTCAAGGTAGGAATGCACCTGTCATTCCATCAAGCCGGAGCTGTTGGAAGCTGGACACCCGGGGTCCCTCTCTCTGGATATTCTGCCGTCCTCAGGCGCACTCTGCTCTGCAAGACCCCTATGGCCACCACGGCGTTCTCGCCACGGGGAAGGAGGAAGGGGGCTCAGCTCTTTCTTTTTCAGATGTGACTCCCTGCAAGGGAGGCTGGGAAGGTCAGTCTCGCCCCGGGGTCACGGAGTGCGATCAACACTCTTTCCAAGGAAGAAGGGGGTGAGAAGGCTGTGGGGGGCTGCCCGCTGTTTCCGCCACGGCATGGGGACATGGGGGGCAGCCAGCCAGCGGTTCCTGCCACAGCACGCGGACTCTGACACCCAGAGAGTGTCTTGGCGAAGGCAAGGGAACACAGACCCTCCCTGGTAACAGCCCAGCCCTGCAGACATGGAAGCCTGGAACCCCCCTGACCCCGGGGTTTCCAGCTACTGCCCCCAGGCAGGTATCTGTGGGCCTAGCCCCTGGGGCGGGCTCCCTGCCCCCAGCCCGCAGCGGCCCAGTCCCAAGGCCCTCGTTTCTGTATTTGGGTCTCTTTCCCCCAAAGCAGGAAGGCAGGACCATGAGGGGCAGAGGGGGCGTGGCCCCTGGGGTCTTGGGACGCCTCGGTGCTGCGGGCAGGTGCCGGGGCTGGGGGTGCTGAGTTCACCGGGCAGAGCGGAGGCCGGAGAGGTCCCGAGCACCCAGAGTGGAGCCTCAGTTCACGGCTGTCCCCTCGGGGGCTCTGAGGGCCGCCCTGAGCCCACCCCAGGCCCACTCCAGCCCACCATCTAGCGTTCTCGTCCTTAGAGTGTCAGGACCAGGGGAAGTGACGCCTGCATGTGTGCTACGTGCTCATTCTCGGTCACCTCCAGCCCAGCCGTGAGCCCCGCAGGAGCAGGGGCCTGTCTCCGGTTCCCCCCATCCCTGTCTCCTGCACCTGAATCTCTCCCGTGACATCCTCCTCACAAGCCTCATCGAGGGGTCTGGGCGGGGAGGGCTCGGCTCCTCCCCTCCCTCCCTCTCGCCTCGCCTGGTGGTTCACACACGGAGGGGTGTGGGCTGCTCACGGGAAGGAGGGGGTCAGGCACAAGGACACCGTGTCATGAGGAAGGCAGGGGGGGAAGCCGAGCCCTTGCTCTCCCTGGCGGTGGTGCATGCCAAAGGGAGCGGGCTTCTCCCCTGGCCAAGAGGGCGTTCTCAGCTTGCAGGAGAAGCAGAGATGTCTAGGAGTGTCTCTGGCCTTGGAGGGCCCGGGCAAGGAGGCCCTGCTCTCTTAGGATGAGGAAGTGACCACGTGGCAAATGCCACTCTTCTCCAAAATAGAGGGTGTGGCAGGGAGGGCCCCATGGTGTAATTCTGGTTCCCTCCCTCCTTCCCCTGGCCTGCGTTAGCAGAGGCTCAGGAAACACTGGAAAACCACTTGACTTTTTTTTTTCAGTTGAGGGAGGGTCTCACTCTGTCACCCAGGCTGGAGTGCGGTGGCACGATCATGACCCACTGCAGCCTCAACCTCCTGGGTCAGGTCATCCTCCCACCTCAGCCTCCCAAGTAGCTGGGACTGCAGGTGCACACCGCCATGCCTGGCTAAACTGTTTGATCTCTTTTGTAGAGACGAGGTCTTGCTTTGTGGCCCAGGCTGCTTTGGGACTCCTGGGCTCCAGCAATACTCCATCTTTGGCCTTCCGAAGTGCTGGGATTACAGCGTGAGCCACTGTGCCCAGCTTCTGCCCGCCTTGTCAATCCAGCCCAAGCGCTCACTCCGGCCCTGGACCACCTTCACCCTCATGGCTGGATCTCACACGGTTTGGATCTCAGGGGCTTGGACAGAGCCCTGTCAGCCCCTGTTGGGCACAGGATCGCGGCCAACACTTCCCAGGGACTCCTGGCATCGCCCCCCAGGCAGCCCCGGCCACCCGGTCCCCACACCTGCTTGTTCAGGAACAGGCCCTTTCCCTGGAGACACTCCTCCCTGCTCAGCAGGACGCCCTCGCGGCTCTGGGGCTCCCTCCGGCAGCAGGCCTCGGGCACCTCGCCACTGTCCAGGGTCAGGAGCCGGAACACCGATGCCAGCTTAAAGTCTTCAGGCCCGTTGACCCCACAGCAGCCGAACTAGGAGAGCAAGCGGGGGGGGGTCGTAGGCAGGAGCTGGATGCGGGGGCAGAGGACAGCCAGCCTCTGTGAAGGAGGGGCAGGAGGCCGGGAGGGCTGGCTCCACCCCCCACCCTTGCATAGCCACGGAGAGTCCCTCGGCTTCCTGGGCCTCCAGTGCCCTTATCTGTAAAATGGGCCTGCAGGGGGCACTTAGCCCTCAACACACAATCACAACGAGCCCCCAGGGCAAGGACTGGGGCCTGAGGGCCCGAGACGCGTGGACTGCAGCCGTGTGGCTGTGGCTGTGTGGGGGTGGATTCCAAGGCAGGCCCGAGATGGGCAGGAGGCGCCCGGGCTGATGGCCAACGCTGGCAGGGCACAGGAACACCGGGCCCCGTGGGGCTGGATGCTCACGGCACCCTGAGACCACTCACCGTGATCATGACGGAGTTCCAGGTGGCGGAGAAGACGTCCGTGTCGTTGTCGCCCTGGTAGCGCTTGGTGAGCTCCTTGGTGAAGAACTCTCGGGTGAGCTGGGCGGGAGAGGGCGGGCTGAGACGGGACGGTGCTTGCAGCCCTGCCCTCCTTCTGATCCACTGCAGGCAAGGGGCTCTGTGTCCTGGGGATCCCTCCCTGACTCCTCTAAGCTGTCATCTCGGGGTAGGCCCTTGTCCTGACTTGAAGACGAGGGCTATACGTGACCCCTTGGCTAACAGGAGACCGGGCACACAGACCTCCACCGCTCCGCCCAGAGGGAGGGCTTCTCTCAGGCAGGGGCTTGCCCTCACCCACCCTTCCACCCTGAGCTGTTCCTGCAGCACCCACAGCGGTGCCCTGGGCCCCAGGCCCCAGAGGAGAGTATGCCAGGCAGGACACAAGGTAGGTCTACCCACCCTCCTCACTGCAGTAGAAGGGTGGGGCCCAGGAGAGGATGACTCCTGGCTGCCCAGGCACCATTCTGTGCCCCAGACTGTCACCTCCCGGACCCCCAGGGCCCGCCTGGGTCTCCCGCCCCCTTACCCCTTCTCATTATGTCCACACCCCCTCTGGCTATGGCACCCAGCGCTCCTGGAGGCAGCTGGCGCCCCGGGGGGCTGGAGCCTCTGGAATGAGATGGTCTGCGAGGCCAGCTGCCCAAGGACACCAGCCAGGCCTCCTCTGGGCGCACCCTACCCTGTGTCCTGCCCAGCTCTCTCTGGGGCTCCTGGCTCTGTGGCCCGGAAGAGCCCTCGCAGGGAGAGGCCCGCCAGGGTCTCTCCGGGCTGCGGGTGGGCCGTGGGGCATGACCTGGGCTGGAACCACTGGAGAAGAGGCTGCGACCCCGTGCGCTCCTCGGGCAGGCGACGGGGTGGGGGCGGCCCTGAGTGGCCCCCGAGCCCCGGCCGCAGCCAGGTGGGAGAGCCTGGCCCAGGACCTACGTTCTCCCTGAAGATGAAGGCCAGGATGGCTGCCGACAGCTCCGCCAGGAAGATGAGCAAGGTGAGCAGGAAAAACTGCGGGGAGAGGGGCAGCTGTGAGGGCGGGGGACGGGGCGGCCACGGCCCACGCGTCCATCCACCCTCACGCAGTTGACATCGTGCAAAAGTTAGACTCCAGCTGGGCTCGGTGGCTCAGCCTGTCATCCCGCGCCTTTGGGAGGCTGAGGTGAGTGGACGGCCTGAGCCCGCCCGGGCAACTTGGTGAGACCTCATCTCTACAATAAATCAAAAAAAAAAAAAAAAAATCAGCCGGGCGTGGTAGCGCGCGCCTGTAATTCCGGCTACTCGGAAGGCTGAGGCGGAAGGATCGCCGGAGCCCAGCGGGTCGAGGCTGCGGGGGCCGGGAGCGGCCACGGCACTGCAGTCTGGGCGACAGAGTGAGCCTCCGACTCAAAAAAAAAAAAAAATTAGCCACCATCGCCCTGAGCCAGACATTCTTCAGAACAAGCATACGATGGCTTATCCTTGGAGCCAACAGGGTTGGAATGCAAATATGGAAAAAGTAAACAGAAACAAGCACTCTCGACGCAAATAAGGCCTCCTAGAGAGAGGCCCTTGTGCAGTGTGCAGTCTGGACAACCCCACACAGCGGCCCAGGAAGGAGATCACTGGTGAAGCCCATTGGGGCCCCTCTGGTTGATTTCCTTCCAGGTGGGTCGTAAAGCTGTAGGCACCCTGAGCTCATCAGGACCCCTAGATGGCTTTCCCCATCTGCCAGCCCCAGGACGCTTCTCTGGTTCCCACGGAAAATGGAGACGCCCTGTTGCTCTTCAGCCAAAATGAAGGAGTGAGATTGGAGGAAACTGTGGTGATCACAGGGATCTGAAAACCCGGGCAGGAGTCGGACATGTCCACACAGTCCCTTCTGCTCCAGCACTGAATTTCTCGACATTCCCCCAATAACCATGGCGCCTCTGGATCCGAGGGCCTCCCACGTCATGTGCCCTCTGCCAGGGGACATTTTCCCAAGCAAGTGACAGCCTGGCCCCTCTCCTGCAAGAAGACTTCCCTGACCTCCTGGGCCCCCTGACATCACAGCGTCTGGCAGAGTGCACGGCCAGGACCTAGGGGCTGTGCCTCAGGGTGCCGCATGGCCACTGCCCAGGACAGTGCAGGGCTCACGCCTGGCTGCTGGGTGGATGGGTGAACCTGGCGTGGAGGGCTTGCCACGGGGATCTGTGGCTGCGACGGCCCAGCCCGGCCATCATGGGCGCCGGGGTGGCTGAGGCCGTGGGCAGGAGGCGTGGCTTTGCTTTCATTGCCCAGCACTGCCGTGCCCTTGGCATTGACGAAGTCCATCGTCGCCCACCCAGAAACCCCTGGCAGAGGACTTAATCCCTGGCACACCCCCGAGACTGGCCCTCACAAGCCCTCCTGGGCTCCTGGGCGCTGCCCCGACCCTGACTGGGGTCACGGTCTCAGAACCACCTGCTGCCCCCGATGTGTGGGTGGGAAGGACACCTTGCCTGGCCTTGTGTGATGTGGGATGATCACTAATCCCCTGGGAGCCTCAGGTTCCTTGTCAGTAACATGGGGATACCGGCACCCACTTCCTGGGCCTCCGCGTGGGGAAGAATGACATCACAAATATGGGGCATTTCCACGTGGCAGAGTCTGGCGTGGGATGGGCACGGTGGCGAAACGTGGACACCCACCCAATGCAGGCTCCATGCCACCTCCGTGAGCTGCTCTCAGTGACACGCTCGGTGCGCTGTTGACGATGCCTAAGGGGCTTCTTTGCTGGAGAGTCTCTTCCGGTCAGAGGACAGCATCTGTCCCTTTAACCCACCCCGGAGACCCCGGTCATGTTCCTGCTGAACTTCGGCCCCCGCGGCGGCTGCCCTGAGCAGCTCCCGGGTGTCTTCAAGCCGTGGGCCCTGCCAGGGAGAACTCAGGATGGCCAGAAAGCAGCCACCCGACCCGCAGACACGAGATGGCCCGAGACCCGGCAGGCACTCTGGTTTCCTCAAACAACCCAGCACAAGGGAGGCCTCGCTTTGGCCGAGCAGCTGGCACCCACCGGGGCTCGCCCTCCGCCTTGTCCTGCTCCTGCCTTGCCCGGCCGTGACGTCACGCTCGTTGTGTCCTGGGTGGTCCTGAGACGCCCCAGGGTCTCGCTTCTGCTGGGCGTTATCCCTGAGGGCTGCAGCCCCATCCCGTCTCTGCTCGGCTCCCGCTTCCCGCAGCCAAGGCAACTGAGGCTGCAGAGAGGATGTGGCTGGCGCACAGGGTGCAGCTGGAAAGGCTCAGAGCTCCCTCCTCAGAGGCTCAGGGAGTGGCCTGTCCCTACCCCCTTCTGAGCCCAGGGACTGCCCCGACAAGTCAGCGGGCAGCCCTGCTGGGGCCTGCCGTGTGGCCACCATGACATCTGGAGGCGAAGTCTCCTGGCCAGATGCTCCTGCACTTCCCGAAGGGTGGGGTGGCCTCGGGCTGAGGTTGGGGACCAGCGTTCCCCAGCCAGGGCGGAGGGTGACGGAGGCTGTCCCTGGTCACAACACCCACAGTCTGTCACCCCCACGACCTTCACGTTCACAAGGCTGCTCGGCCCTCAGCTGGGAGGCCGCTGAGCAAAGCGTCTTGTGCTCCCGCGGCCTCTCCTCCCCTGTGACAGTGAAGTAGGCCCTTGGCGGGGGTCCTGACACTTCCATTTGCTGGTGACGGATGGCCGTCAGCAGGCGGGTCCTTCAGCGGGCAGAGAGCCGCCCGGAAATGCCACCCCACCCCCGGTGATGCACTTGGGCTGGCGCACTGCCGGCTGCCGCTCGGCAGTGATCAATTATGGACGAGGCCAGCCGCGGACCCCATGCACTCTGTGTGCCTGTCACTTGGGGGGTGCGCCCGCCGGGGTGACTGAGCACGGTTCGGTGAAGTCATGCGGGTGACGGGCCCCTCGCAAGGCTGGCACGACATCCGCACTGCTCCGAGGGCTGCCGGGCACCAGGAGGAAGCTTGCTTTCCCGAGGCAGGGGCCGGCGTGAGCGCCTGTCCGCCGAACACTTTCCGCCTAGGCACTGTGTCCCCCTGCACGCTGTCCATCCACCCCTCAGCACCTGGGAGGGGCAGGTGACACCCTGTCTCTCTGACGGGGGGTCGGAGGAGAGTACTCAGTCCACGCTGGCTGCTGGTGCACCTGGGACCCCACCTGGGAGCTCCGACTCCAGTACATGCTGGAGCTTCCTTCCCTGGAGGTGGAAAGAGCCCGCCAGTCCCGTGCCTGAAAGTGGCCGGCAAAGTCTCTCCAGGTTCACTACCCACTCTTGCCGTTCCCACTTATCACGGCTTCTGCGCTCCAGGAACACGGCTGAGCCAGACACACACCTTCCCATTGGATTCCAAACACAGCGCCATGGCTGGGAAGGAGGCGTTGTTATCCTCGCTTGATGTGTTAGGACGCTGGGGTTCAGAGAGATGAAGTGATCAGCCCCAAGTCACACAGCCACGAGGTGGCAGAGCAGAAGCTGGAACCCAAGTGTTTCTATCCCAAAGCCCATGCTTGGACCCATGCCTCTGATACCGGTAGCCTCCTCTCTGCTCCTCCATTCTCGGCTGTTTATTGAGCACTTGCTCTGTGCCAGGCACCGGGCTACATACGAGGCAGACGCAGCCCCATTCTCACAGAGCTGACCTGGAAGTGAAGAATCAGGAGGTGAAGGAATGAGCTGGGCTCCCGGGCTGGGAGAGCGGGTCCCCCAGGCCCAGGGGTGGGCGGCTGGAGCGTGCGAGGCTGAATCACAGGTCCCAACGATGCCACTGCGCCGACTGGCCGTCCCCGGCGTGACCGTTCCCTCCTCACACTGGGGGGCTGGGGGTTCCCCGGCCCGGTGCAGGGCTCGTCCCGAGGCTGCCCTGGTGTCCCTCACCACAGTTTTCCCAGGATTGCACCTGCATCCTCAGGACACACTCGTCAGCGATTCTGGAGCCTCGAATTTTCAGCAACTTGCTCAGGATGGAGGGATCAGCGGGGGGCCGGGGCAGAGGTGGCTGTCCTGCCCTCTGGGGCACCTCCAGGCCCTTCCGGCGCGCCTGCCGCAGGCGATGCCTGCCTTCAGATCCGTTTCTAATAAATATTTACCAGATGTCTTGCCGCATGCCCAGTTTGGCTCAGTGGCCTCTTTTGGATACCTCATCTCTTGTACTGTCCTCTTTTCCGGTCAGGCATGGCCTTGTGATAAAATATTTTAAAAATCTGAGTCTTCCAATCAGTCGGCTGAAAAAAAACCCCTTGAAATACTCAGAGTAAAGTGGCCGTCAGGTGATCTGGGCCTTAGATGGATCATCCCCAGGCCACTGAGCAGAGGGAGGGATGCTCAGTGAGCCCCTCCCACCCTCCTCTCTCCATGGGCAGACAGAGTGCTCTTGGTCCCTCTCAAGAAAAGCCCTCTCTCCCTTCTGGCAGGCCGAGGAGGCGGGCAGAGTCCTCGAGAAGGGCCCCAGAGGCTGCCGGGGTGAGACTCCAATCCGCCACACAGCCAGGGCCAGGTGGGAAGACAGGCGTGATTCTTTTTTTGAGTTGGAGTCTCACTCCATTGCCCGGACTAGGGCGCAGCGGCACGCTCCCGACCACTGCAGCCTCGACCCGCTGGGCTCCAGTGATTCTCTCGCCACAGCCTTCCAAGTAGTGGAACTACAGGCACATGCTACCACGCCCGGCTAATTTTTGATTTATTGCAAAAACGAGGTCTTGCCAAGTTGCCCAGGCGGGTCTCGAACCTGCAGGCTCAGGTAACCCACTCACCTCGGCCTCCCAGAGCGCTGGGATTACAGGCTGAGCCACCGAGTCAGGCCCTTTTTTTTTAAAGTGTGAAATACAGTTTATTTAGAAAGTAAATTGGAGAGATACAGAGAGAGAGAGAGAGAGAGAGAGGAGGGATTCCCCTCCTCAGGGTAGGGGAGGGGGCCAAAGCTTAGAAAACCATGGCCCAGCTAGAACTCAACATGGCTTAGCCAAAGAATGGCCAGACATGGCTCTTATTTCTTAAGTCATGAGCCTTTCTGAAAACCTTCTAGAAGCTGCCGTGCCTTTCCCCAGAAACATTCGCACAACCGCCCACACCCATGCATGTAACACACATGCACATGTATAAATCTAAGCCATATGTGCACAGACACACAACACATACACAAACACAACTCATGCACATGTATACGACACACGTGCATACACACGCAGCATGTGCACTTGTATACATATGCGTACCATGAGCACACAACACATAATGCACATACATGCACACATCCCAGGCACACACGATGCACACCCACGCAATGCACGTGCACCCACAGGCCCTGACATCGTGTTTTGCCGGTCGCTTTGGGGGCATTTGGGGCCAGTGCCTCCCCGGCTGGGAGCCCCTGCACCAGCCCTGGTCTGGAAGGCAGGAGACCCGGACGCCAGCGTCCTCTGCCGCTGACCCACACCGCGACCTCGGGCTGCGAGCACCAGGCCTTGGAGAGAAGGGGGGCGAGAAGTGGCGGCGGGTGGAGAGACAGAGGCAGGGAGGGCTCTGGAGGGGCACCAGGAGAGGGTGCAGGGACAAGAACAAAGGGACCGGGACAGGTGGGCAGGGAGACGGGGACAGGGCCGGCGGCCACACGGAGCCAGGGCGAAGAGGAGGGTGGCGGGAACGAGGGCGGGGGCCATGGCAGGGCAGCAGAGAAGAGCCCCAGGCAGCCAGGGCCAGCTCCCTCACGGAGGCTCAGGCAGCCCTCCCATCTCAGTCTCAGAGCCTGGCCCTCCATCGCATGGGAAGGGGACGCCCTGGCGGCTGGCGGGCCCTGGAAGGCAGGAGCGGCCGTCCGCCCCACCCAGAGCACTGCCGGGCTCCCGGGCTGGGCCTCAGAGGGAGCCCACTCTCAGGGGGGAGCTCCCGCGGGCCGCGGGCAGGAGGGGCGGGGGCCCGGCGTCCCGAGGTCGCACCCAGCTTCCTCTAAAGCTCCCCGGCCCCCGGACCGGTCTGCACACCGTGGCAGGTGGAGGGCCGTCCACCAGGGGGCGCTCACGGCTCTTGCGGCCCCGGAAGGCAAGGCGCGGTGCCTGGGACGCGAGGGCAGACGGACCCGAGGCGCCGTCGCTCACGGCACAGCCGACTTCGCTTCCTCTCTGGACGGCCGTCCTGCCGCGACTCCAGCGGGGACCTGGGGGTACTGTCGCCCGGGGCGGAGGCGTGGTGCCAGTCTCGCCTCCGCCACAGAGTGCCGGCTCATCAGAGGGTCTCCCATTGCTTGATGGGAGGCCAGCCGGGGGTCTCCCATTGCTTGATGGTGCCTCCCACAGGCTTGCCCACCCAGCCCCCCATGGGCAGCTGCTACAGGGACCCAGCCACGGGCATGCCTCTCCCGTTGGGCTGTTTTGAACTCTCCGGTAGCGGGACTGGGCTCACCAGAAGCTCCCCGAGTCCCGGGACCACAGGACCTTAGGGGAAGAGGAGACCCAGCCACCGAGGACAGGGCGGACGGCAAAGGCCACGGCCCACGGCCTGCGGGAGGCCAGGACATCCGCTGCTCGGCTTGCGTGGTCTCGGCTATGCTGAGCCACCCTCTCTGTTTAACAGGAAAGACACGCTCAGCTCAGGGTGGTCAAGGAACTGGCCTGGGACAGAGCGGGGCGCATACTCAGATCCACGCCAGCCAGCTGCCTGCCTGTCTTAAAGATGGTCTCCTGTGTCCATGAGGGGCGGGAAGGCCACTCCTGGTCCCCAACATATCTTCAGCGCCTAGTGGACTATGGTCCCCCCCACGGGAGCTCGAGGGCTACTCATTGAATGAACGACCTTCAGATACCACAGCATCTCCAGTTTATTGACTTATTTTTGAAATGGAGTCTCGCTCTGTCGCCCTGGCTGGGGGCACAGGGCCACGATCGTGGCTCACTGCCACCACGGCCTCCCAGGCGCAGGCGATCCTTCAGCCTCAGCCTCCCACGTCGCTGGGACTTCCAGTGGGTGCCACCATGCCTGGCTAGTTTTTAAATTTTTCTTGTGGAGATGAGGTCCTGCTATGTTGCCCAGGCCGGCCTCAAACTCCTGGGCTCAAGTGATCCTCCCACCTCAGCCTCTCAAAGTGCTGGGATTACAGGCATGAACCTCATTCTGGGATCCCGAAGCCTGGCCCCTCATCTCTGTTTCAGAACTGGGTCTCCAGAAGGTGAACCATTCACCAAATAGCTCTATCTTAAAGGTGTCATGCATTAGAGTTTCTAGAAGCAAGCGGGAGGGAACATGCGGTCAATGTCCGGGTGGCAGCTGACCACGACTCGCAGAAGTCTGGCCGTCAGCCCTGGAGGCCAAGGCCCTCTCTGCCAGGGGCAGCTCACCCACAGAGCAGGCTCCAAAAGCCGAGGCCGCCAGGGCAAACGGGAAAGGCTGTAGGGACCGTCCCTCTTCCGGAGGACAGCCCTCGAGGCTGGCACCTCATTCTGGGATCCCGAAGCATGAAGCCAGGGGCCCCAGTGGCATTGGAGGGAACCGACGGTCTTGTGGTGGGGGAAAGGGCTGCCGTGGCTTGGCGAGGACACGGCCCTGGCCTAACCTCTGTGTCGTCCTCTCAGCTCCCAACTCCCGGGGACACCTCAGGGCTTCACGATCACCGACCAGCGGGACTGGGGCCAGGCAGGCTGAGCCGCCATCTGTGGAGTCACAGCCCTGCCTCCCCCGGGGCACCCGCGGACGAGTGGGGCTGGGTACTCACGAGCAGCAGCAGACACTTGTTCTCGCGGACGGCCCCGCAGCAGCCCAGGAAGCCGTGCAGAAAGAGCAGGCCCCCCATGGCCAGGAGGACGTAGACTCCCGTGAACAGCAGGGGCTTGGCGGCCACGATCTCCCGGAAGCCGGTGGGGTCCACCATGACCCAGATGCCCAAGCCCAGCAGGCAGGCCCCGCCCAGCTGCTCGGCCGTCAGGGAGGGGAGAGGAAACAGGCGATGGGTCAGGCCCCAGGCGGCATCCTGCAGGGGCTGGAGTGCCCCGTGAGCTGGGCAGGGGCCTCGCGTGGGGCAGGGGCCAGGGAAGCCCGGTGCGCCTTGAATTGCTAGGGATGCTTCCAGCGGCTCTGACCTTGAGGGCGGCATGCACCCTCTCAGCCTGGCGGCCGACCGGGCCCCCTGTGGGCCACTGAGGATCCTGTCGGGGGGTCTTCCTGCCGCTTCACCTTCTGAAACGTCAGAGCTGCAGGGAGAGGCGGTCACCTAGGCCAGCCCTGACTCCAGGGGCAGCGACACACAGCAAGTCCACGGCAGGGTCAGGGCTGCATCCCGGGCCTGGACGTCAGCCCCAGTGACACTCAACACAGGTCCGTGAATGTGCCCCGAGACATGTGCCCGCACCGCCCATGTAGGAGCTGGGGAACCAGACACAAGCCTTGTTCCCATCCTCAGGGGGGTCCAACCTGACAACGGGCTCCCCACTCCCAAATCCTGGCTAGGAAGCCTTCATCCTTATGTCTTCCTCGGCCCGGCCCCTCTCCCCACGCCTCACTCGTCTTCGGAGAGAGGCAGCTTAGTCCGGACCAACGCTGTGCCACTTACCAGCTGTGTGACCTTGGGTAAGTGGCTTCACCTCTCTGATCCTCAGCTTTCTTGTGCTTAAGGGGAGACTAGCACGCCCGCCTCCCCAGGCAGCCCCAAGGAAGGAAGGGCAGAATGGATGTGAAGGCGTGTCACAGATTTCAGTAAACACCTGCTCCATTTTTCTTGGGCATAGACAAGCATTGGAGCTCTATGGCGGGGAGGACAAACGTGTGACGCCATGGGGTGGGAACTGATGGCAAGGATCGGGGCAGAGGCCCGAGGGGCCCAGCCGGGGAGGGAGCAGCCAGTGTCTCCCTCCTCCGTCGCCCACAAAACCTCCAGACAACCTGCTCCCCCGTCTTATGGTGGGAGGTCCTGGGGGACATGGGGGGACGAGAAATAGGCAGATGGGCTAGCTCCAACAACTGGACACGAAGGGGGGCCCTGGCCCACTTGGGTGAGACCGGGGCTGGAGGAGGGCCGGGCTCGCCCAGGGCTACCCTGCTCGGAGGGTGGCGGCTTTGGGGCCTGAATTCCAGTCTGTGGGCTCACAGCTCTTGAGGGTTATGGGCAGAGGAGGGAAACCAAAATGTGGCAGAAATGTGTAAAGAGAGACACGGAAAGAAACAGAGCCCGTCCCGGCCAGAAAGGGGCCCTCTTTTGTCATGACCCTGCCCTGAGTGGAGGCGTATTCGTGCAGGTTGAGGCTGCCTAAGATCGAAGGCTGAGGCTGGCCCAGGAAAGCCTGCGGGGGCCCAGGAAGCTGGGCAGAGCTGAGCTCTGGGGGCTGTCAGCAGGGGGGCTGGCCGCCCAAGGGCCCGGGGCTCCTGTCCCTCCGTATGGAGGAGTCACAGGCTGATGGAGAAGCAGCCACGCTGTGGAGGGCCAGCCACACTTTGCAAATAGATCTTGCTCAATTTTAAGAAAGCCTGCAGAGGCAGGTCAGGGAGAGTGAGGATACTGAGGGTCAGAGAGGCAGTATGTATTTCAGATCACACAGCTGGTAGGATGTGGAGCTGGGACTGGGGCACAGGTCTCCTGGTCACCTCCAGCCCTCCTCCCCACCCCCCCAGGGGGTGATCCCGAGACAGTGGCTGGGCCTGAGGTCCCAGACCTTTGCCAGAGTGGCCCAATCACCCCAAGTTCTGTATCAACGCCTGTCCCGTGACGGCGGGCTTCTCAGAGCAGGTGGGCACGGCAGGGGCCTCCCCTGCAGAAAAGCCCGGCCGGGTGGGTCCCCTTGCCTCCAGCGCTGGCCCCTGCCCATGCCAGGGACTCGGCCCCCAGCAGCCCCCAGGTCTGCCTGCCCAGCGGAGGTCAGGGAGGCCAGGATACTTACGAAGATGAAGAAGTTGAGGACAAACATGAGGTATTTCATGCAGCTCAGACAGTCGCCCTCCATGGCTCTCCGCCTGCGAGACACGGGGCGCCTCAGACCACCCGCCGGGGATCCACCCAGAGACACAGGCCATCTCAGACCACTTGCTGGGGACCCACTCAGAGACACAGGACCACCTGAGGCCTCCTGCCAGGGACCCACTCAGAGACACAGGACCATCTCAGACTAGCTGCCAGGGATCCCCCATCCAGAGATACAGGCCACCTCAGACTGCCCATTGGGGACCCACCCAGAGAACACAGGCCATCTCAGACCGGCTGCCAGGGGAGCCCCACCCAGAGACACAGGCCACTTCAGAACACCCGCCAGGGACCCATTCAGAGACACAGGCCATCTCAGACTGGCCGCCGGGGTCCCCCACCCAGAGATCCCCTCCCTCAGGGACACAGGCCACCTCAGAACACCCTCCAGGGACCCATCCAGAGATACAGGCCATCTCAGACTGGCCGCCGGGGTCCCCCACCCAGAGATCCCCTCCCTCAGAGACACAGGCCACCTCAGACCACCCGCCAGGGACCCACCCAGAGACACAGGGCCACCTGGGGTCTCCCGCCAGGGACCCACTCAGAGATACAGGCCATGTCAGACTGCCTGCCAGGGACCTGCCCGGAGACACAGCCATTTCAGACCAGCTGCCAGACACCCCTCCCCCCACCCAGAGACACAGGCCACCTCAGACCACCCGCCAGGGACCCATCCAGAGACACAGGCCATCTCAGACCGGTGGCCGGGGACCCCCCACCCAGAGACCCCCTTCACCCAGAGACACAGGCCACCTCAGACCACCTGCCAGGGACCGACTCAGAGACACAGACTGTGTCAGAATGCCTGTCAGGGACCTGCCCAGAGACACAGATCACTTCAGCCCACTTGCTGGGGACCCACTCAGAGACACAGGCCACCTCAGACCGCCTGCCAGGGAACCGCCCAGAGACACAGGACCACTTCAGGTCTCACAGTGAGAACCCACCCAAGGCGCCATGCCCAGTGCTATAACCACGTCCTCTCACATAATTCTTGCATCAGTCAAGGAGGGGTGTGCTCTGTGACTAGGGGTCTTCTCCTCGGCCCAGCAAGGTGTGTGCAACACCGGAAGGTGAATGGATGGCCCAGGGCCACACAGCCTGTGGGGGGCAGTGCCACAGCCCCGTGCACATCTGCCCCCTAAGTCACTACCCAACACCCTCCCCAGCAAGCCAGGCCAGTCCCCTACTGCCCAGTGCCGCCTCCGATCCACCCCAGCCGCTCCACCCCCTCCTCGTAGGTGATGGCAGTTAGATCCCAGCTGAAGTGTTTTTTCCCTTTCTTTTTCTGTTTTTGTGAGTCGAGGTCTCACTCTGTCACCCAGGCTGGAGTGCAGTGGCACAATCACAGCTTACCACAGCCTTGACCTCCTGGGCTCAGGAGATCCTTCTGCCTCAGCCTCCTGAGTAGTGGGATACAGGTGTGCATCACCATGCCTGGCGAATGCTTTGTAGAGACAAAGCCTTGCTCTGTTGCCAGGTTGGTCTCAAACTCCTGGAGACTCAAGCCATCCTCTCATGTCGGCCTCCCACCGTGCTGGGATTGCAGGTGAAAGCCACCACGCCTGACCTCAGCTGGTTTCTACAGAGCATCTGAACCCATGGGAGGGAGGACAGCCGGAGAAGCTGGTGGGAAGGGGGTGCAGGGAAGGTTCCCGGCCTCAGGGGTTCCCATTTCCCCACCGGTTGTTTTTGCCGATGTGTCAGCTGTCTGCCCACTGGCCGACTGGGGCCAGGCTGTGGCTTTGCCATGGCTCAGGGCCCCACTGCTCCCTGGAGAAAGACAGAGCAGGGCAGGGACAGCGGGCACCAGGCAGAGAGGGGACACTCAGAGTCACCTGGGACAGCCTCCTTATGCTATTGGGAGGAGGAAACTGAGGCACAAGGCACCCGGCAATGAGCCCAAGGCCATTCAGAGAGAGAATCGCGGAGGGAGGCCGCACAGGGGCTCCAGGCTCCAAGCCTCCAACCTCCCAGCAGCCCCACGGGCGTCTCTCACCCTGTGGGAGAGAAGGGGAAGGCAAGGCTCCCCGGGGGCACCCGCCAAGTCTCCACCCACCCAAAGGGCACCACCTGGGGAGCGCCTCGTGTGTGCCAGGCCTGGTCCTAAGCATTTCACAACCCCCACGGGATAAGTGCTCTTATCGGCCTTATTTTCCAGAGGTGGAAACTGAGGCAAAGAGCGGCTGGGTGACTTGTCGAGGTCCCAGCCAGCGAGTGGGGAAGCCGAAATGCGAGCCCAGGTGTCCAGTTTGGAAGGAAAAAGGATGCATGGGGTGCCCTGAGGAAGACTCTGGGGACACCACTCTCTCCACTGCAGGGCCTCTAACACACCTCCAGCCCCACGCCCGCTCCCGGCCCCTCCTCTCTCACCAGAAATGGCCACGGCCTTGGGACTGGCCTCCCCGCCTCCAGCCACCCCCTTCAATCCCCTGCTTCCAGAAGAAGGACCATTCCACAGAGCACAGCTAACTACTTCGCTCCCGTGGGAAACACCTGGCCTCCGCTGACCTGCCTGGCCCCCAGCTGGGGACTGTCAGAGCCTCTGAGACTCCTGCCTTGACTTTCCCATCACCACCCTCAAAGGAGAGGCCCCCAGAGGTCTCCCCCAAGGCTCACCTAGCATCTCTGTGCAGGCTGACCCCTTCTGCCTTGATTGTCTTACCACCTACTCCCCACTTAATTCCTATTCATTCTAAAGCTCGGCACAGGCATCACCTCTTCCAGGAAGCCTTCCCCGATTCCATCTCCTGTTCCAGATGCCTTGCCTAGTGCACTCATGGCCTCTGCTGACCCTCCACAAGATGTACCCCACGTATCCACAGAGGCCCTGTGCCCTTTGGAGAGGGAAAGAGCCATGGCTGCGCACAGAGCCATGGCCAGCCCCGTGCCAGTCCCGCAGAAGTGGCTGCCTGTTATCTTTCAACAAGCCCAGGAGGCAGGAGGCACTGTGGCCATTTCGCAGATGAGGACGCTGCATTCTTGAGGGGAAGGAAACTGAGGCTCAGAGAGGTGGAATCGCTCATTCAAGGTCACACAGCACAGGAGTGCCGGAGCCGCGGCACACAGGCTCAGAGAGGTCAGGCGATCTGCCCGTGGGGCTGTATGCCCGGACCGGGATTCAACCGCAGCTTAGGCAACTCCAGATCCTGGGCCCCACCTTGTCCAGGAGCAGATGTTCAAGCAGAGAGTCAGACACGGGGAGCACTGGCCTAGGAGTCTGGAGCCCCAGGCTTCCGCTCTGGAAGTTACTGCTGTGTGACCTTGGGCCAATTCCTCCATTTCTCTGGCCTCAGCATGCTCATCTGTCAAATGACAGGGCAGGAATCTGGTGGCCAGTCTGTTTCTACTCTGCTCTGGCGCGGTGAACAGGCCTGGAGGGCTAGGCAGCATGGCAGGGTGGGCTCCCCGGCCTGCCCTCTGCCCACCACGCTGCTCTCCAGGTGGGATCCAGCTTCAGCCAGCTCGGGCCGCTTAACAATTGAGTGCTGTAATAAAAATGGCAGCTCATAAATGGGCTACCTGTATTCACGCTGCACCGTGTTCACTGCAGATGGCGTCTAACGGGAGGGTGCGAGTGCCAGGCTCCCGGACAAAGGAGCCGGGCTCCCGGGAAGAGCCTGCCTCCGGCCACCTCAGAGGGGGTCAGATGGCACTGCAGAGGACACGGCCGGGGCCAGCTGCAGGGTGAGGGGTAGGGGAGAGGGCTTTGGTGCTCAACAGAGGCCTCGCTGTCAGGGCAAACTACTGTCCCGCAGACTGAATTTCTTTCTCTGTAAAGTCAGGCGAGAAAGAACGCCCTCCCCATGAGGCCCTGGACACATGGGGCCTGGCACGTGGGTGTCAATCATCGTGACAGCCACACACCTGGACACACAACTTCATCTACTCCTAGTAAAGCTCCAGGAAATAGGCAACACCGCCACATTCTTGAGGGGAGGCAACTGAGGCTCAGAGAGGTGGAATTGCTCGTTCAAGGTCACACAGCACAGAAGTGCGGGAGCCAGGATTTGAACCCAGGTCTGAGTTCATTTGGAGCCACAACTCTTCATCCTCCTGGTCGCACTCCCCCACAGTGCACACCTATCGTCACACTTCCTCGGCCACCTTACTTCCCATGGTCCTGGGGGAGTGGCCTGCTGGGCTGTCACCCTGCCAGCCCGAGCCCCCTGCCTGCCCCGCCCACAGGGGCTTCTGGCTATGAGGACTGCAGCTGCAGGGCCCCTTCGTTGCTCAGATGAGAGTGCCAGATACAGGCCCTGCCTGGGCCTGGCTGTTAGCTCCACCCACCCACAGAGCCTTCTAGAAGCTCAGTCATCATCACCACCGTTTCCTAACTGTCCTCAAACTTTGTTGTTCCTCAAAGAGGCGCTCGGGAAGGGACCAGGGGCCTGATGCAGTGGTGTGTCCTCCCTGGGACTGGGGGGAAGGCTCCCAGGGGGTTCCACGGGGCTGCAGGGAGTATTGGGGAGGGCGGGGCTGCAGGTGGGGGCCGTGGCCCTACCGCCTTCCAGCCTCGTGACTGTGGGCAAGTCCCACAGCCCTGTTGGCCTTTGCACTGGCATCTGTGGCGGGGCCCTGAGGCTGGGCGGCTCTGTCCCGGCTCCCTCCCTCTGGCCCAGCCTCCATGTGGCTCCCCTCACCGGTGCTCCCGATGGGTTCCTTGAGGCCAGCCTGAAGTTCTCTTTTTTCTTTTCTTTTCTGAGTTGGGGTGCACTCTGTCACCCAGGCTGAAGCGCAGTGGCGCAGCTCACTGCAGCCTCGACCTCCTGGGTTCCGGTGATCCTTGCACCTCAGCCTCCCGAGTAGCTGGGACTACAGGCATGAGCCATCATGGCCAGCTAAGTTTTTATTTAGTTATTTTTATTTTTGTGGACGTGAGGGCTTGTTCTGTTGCCCAGGTTGGCCTTGAACTCCTGGGCTCAATCAGTCCTCCCGCCTCAGCCTCCTAAAATGCCGGGAATACAGGTATGAGCCACTGCGCCCGATCCCAACGTTATTTTCAATATTTCAAATAATGTCTCAGAATCAGCCCCTCATAATAGGCTGACTCAAGGAGCCACTGAGACATTCAAATAATGTCTCAGAATCAGCTCCCCATAATAGGCTGACTCAAGGAGCCAGTGTCTTGGCTTTTTAAAATTTTTTTGAGTTGGAGTCTCACTCCGTTGCCCAGGCTGGAGTGCAGTGGTATGCTCATGGCCACCCCAGCGTTGATCTGCTGTGCTCCAGCAATCTTTCCGTCTCAGCCTTGCAAGTAGCTGGAACTACAGGCATGCACTACCATGCCTGGCTAATTTTTGATTTATTGTAGAGACAAGGTCTCGCCAAGTTGCCGTGGCTGGTCTTGAACCCGCGGCTCAGGAAAGCCACTCGCCTCGGCCTCCCAAAGTGCTGGGATGACAGGCTGAGCCACTGAGCCCGGCTGTATCTTGGCTTTTAGAGCAATCAAACTACCTGGGTGGAACCCTGTTTCTCAGGTCAGGTCAGAGATCTGTAAGAGTCTGCAGTACAAAAAGTGACAAATGACTTGGTAATGTCAGTGCTGTTTGGGGCTCAAAGCCATTAAATCCTGGGCCCAGGGGACGGGATGCTGGAATCAGCATCCCAGGCAAACTTGACCTGGTGGGACTTCAACTCCCAAGGCACACCTGGAGAGCGTGTTCCAGGGCAGTCTGGGTTGGTCCCAGTGAGCGCGTGAGTGGGACTGTGGACCTTGTGGTCTCAAGGCTCACATGCCTGTCACGGCGAGCTCCTCCCCTCCCGCCTGCCACAGGAGGGCCCGTGCTTACAGATGGGTGTCTTACCACATAACATGACCCCCAGATGTAGCTGCTCAGTGTATAATACAACCAGGTGTTAAGGGAACTGTGGTTCGAATGACTGTCCCCTCTGAAACTCAGTCCCTGATAAAACAGTATTCAGCGGCAGGGCCTTTAAAGGGTGACTGGGTCACGAGGGCTGAGCTCTCAGGAATGCACTGACCCATCCGTGGCTTGGTGGCTATCAGGGTCTAGTTATCCCAAGAGTGTGTCAGCTATAAAAGCCACCTTGGCCTGCCCAGCCTCTCCCCCCGGGATGCCCCGGGCCACCCAGGGATGCTACAGAGAGTCTCCTCCCGGCCCCTGCAATAGCACCCTCATCACAAGCAGCCCCTTGCCCTTGGGCTTCCTAGGCTCGAGAACCACAAGAAGGACATATCTTTTCTTTAGAAACGACCCGGTCTCAGGTATTCAGTTATGGCAGCAGAGAACAGAAAAGACACAGGGCTCTCGGGGGACTCAAGGGACCCCTCGGCACCACGGTTTGAGTGAGTGCTGACTTCGGCCCAGCCCTGGCCCAGAGACATCCCCAGCACATCCAAAGGAGGGTTGCTTGGCCTCAGTTTTCGTGAAAGCTTGGGCAGCACCGATCTGGGCCAACACCAGGCAATGAGAGGGCTGAGAGAGGGAAAGAGAGCTTGAGCAAGCCACAGGACCTACCGGGAGCTCAGCCCTGGCTCTGTGGACTCGCCACATGCTCTCTGCTGCACTCACTCCTCTCACGAGCGCGCCCCTGCTTTCATGAGAGTGTGTGCATCACGGAGGCTTGCATTTGCTTGGCTCACTGGCTTTTTCCTAGTGTCTAGAGCAGTGTTCAGCACACAGAGATGGAGAACACCGGAGTCCACAAATCGGGGAAACAAAGACGAGTCAGAAAGAGAGGAAAGCCCAGCCAAAGAGAGACGAGGCAGGAGGAGGCACTGAGAGAGACAGGTGGACAGGAGAGGGATCACAGCGGGAGGCGGGCCGTGTCAGGCGGCGGGGAGAGGACAGGCAGTTGCCGTTTGTCACCTGGGCAGCTCTTCGGGCATCAGCAGGATGGAGTCTCCCGTCCGAGGGCCTCGTGGATATTTCTTTGACGGCGCAGCTTGTCCTGTAAGAGGAGATATTCAATTACTGCAGGGCGCCAACACGGGGCAGCCACCTTACAGAGCGGTTTATGGAAACCAGCCCTGCCGATGCACACACTCTGGCTGAGTGTCTTGTTAATCTGGCCCATTAGAACGAATGAAGAGCTTTTAGCACCTGGGGCTACTCCTGTCTGCGCCATCCTTGGACCCACAGGACCTTGCAAAACAGGGCTCACATGTACACGCCTGTTACATGCTCGGACAGACCCACGAAGGAGACATCCTGCCACCAACCCATTGCACCGTGAGGAAACTGAGTCCTGGAGAGGGGATGGCTTTCCAACATCACGTGGCGGGGAAGTGACAGAGCCAGGGCAAACTAGGAGCCAGACTCAGAAGCGGTTTTCATGGCAGGTGGCGTGTCCCTCGGTGTGGCCACACTGAGTCCTCACAACGGCCCCGGGAGGCAGCCTGCTGCCTCATTTTACAGAGGGAAATTGAGGCCTGGAGGTGCACGTGGCAAGGCAGAGCACCCTCGAGGAGATTCCCGGCGGCTTTGGTTTCAGACGTTTCAGTTCAGGCCCTGGGGCTCAGGGAATCAGGGCATGGTCCCAGGTCCTCTGCCCTCTTCTCTCTGCCCTGTCCCAGGCCTGGTCCCCGGCATCCCTGTCCTGCCTAGCCTCTTGGGCTGCTGTCCTGAGCACAACATAGTTCGTCTTCCTCCGGACACAGAGGCTGGGATGAGAGGCCAGGAGGCACAGAGGACTGACCCAGTGATAGGGGGGTGCCCCTGGGTGGGTGTCTGCCATCTGCCCGCCTCCTGCTCACAGGGGACTCCGCCTCACCACCTGCCATCCTTGGCCCGACAGGAGCTTACCCCTCTGCGGAATCCCGACTCCTGCAACCCACCTCTTATCCCTCTGTCTGTAACCTCCGAAAGCCCCCATCCGATCCACTGGCTCCTGCTTGTCCCAGAAGAGGCTGGCTCCGTGGATCTGCGTGCCTCCCCGCGGCGGGCCCACAGAGCTTGGCCACTGCCTACTCTAGCCAACTCCCATGAGACCTGGGGAAAGTCTTCCCAGGATGCTGGTTCTCCTCTGAAAACTGTCATGACCCACTCTGAAGCCAAGGAGGGTCACGGCACCACGAGTGTGGGAGGACTCAGCCACCCACAAGGACTGCTCTCGGGGGGTGGGAGCTGATATTACCAGCAGTATCACGTGTGGGAAGGAAGTGGAAGCCCAGCCCATGCTCACCAGCTATCACTGGGGGAGGGGGGAGGGGTGTGGGGGGAAAGCCATGGCACAAGGCTGGGGCCGCACGGAAGGCACACACCTGTCCCCTCCGTGGCCCTGATTCAGAGCGACCGCTCCAATTTTGTGATCCCTGGGCCTGACTGTAACTTTAGGGTTGGGTGTCTCCTGCATCCCAGACTTCAGAGACGCGTTTCTCTGGCCTTCTCTTATTTAATCCGTACCCAGGAGGTGGATACCGCTCACTTGACAGATGAGGAAACTGAGGCTCGGACAAGGTAACTAACTGGCCTGGGTTCACTCACCTGGTTAGCAGGACACAGCTACGATTCAGTCCCAAGCCCACCAGGCCCCCACCCAGAGCTCCCAGCATGACACCTATCCATGGGGTGTGGCAGCAGAGACAGGGAGCGCTGGGCCCCCGTCTCCAAAATCCCCAGCCCAAGGCTGTTCTGCCTTGAATCGGGCAACCTGGGCCCGGGAAGCTGGCAGGAATTCTCCCCTGAGCAGCTGGAGGACCCCAGGGGATGGCCAGCCCTGCCATCCCTTGACAGATGGGAGCCCTGAGGCCCAGAGAGGGGCCGGGCTGGGGCCGAGGTCATGCAGTGCCCCGGGACTCCCCCAGCAGGCCCCTGCATGGGCCAGACAGCTTTATTAATTTCACTCCTCCTACTACCCAGATGGCAGACTGGCCTCGTCTGCATGGTGCGGGTGGGGGGCGGAGGGGGTGGCTCTCAGGTTGAGAGCTCAGTTCATAAATCACTCCTTTTACGTTCGCTGCCCCCGGCCCGGGACATGTTTTCTGGAGAGAGAGAAAGGGGGTAGGTGGATGGGAGTGATGGAGAAGTCCCCCCCAAGGAAGCAGATGAGGGTCCCCGTGGATGCGGAGCTGAATACGGGCTCACATGTGCCCCGGCCATGCAAGGATGTTGTGGTCCAGGACAGAACCTCTGAGGCTCTGTGTGCCCCTGCAGCCGGGCTCCCACCTGGCAGGGGTTCTGCCAGGCAGGCTGGGAGTCCCGGGCCAGTCTCCTCATCTGGAAGACGGGATTCTCAGATTGAACTCCCAGGGCCACTTCAAGGAGGACCCCAGGGGACACTGTGGGTGACAGCACTTGGCAGACCGCACACCAGTCCCTCCTTCCTCCTCTCCTGGGCACTAGTGCCAGCCCTGGGCTTGGCCCAAGGCACAGAGGCCAGTGCCGCCCACCCTCAAGGACTTGCTCAAGTCCAGTGAGAGTCAGTAACCCCGTCAGAGCCTGGAGAGGAGAGCCAACAGCCACATTCCCTGTCCAGTGACCTGGACTTGCCAGGCAGGACGGAGGAAGGGAGCCCTGACGGCCAGGGGTGAGGCTGGGCGCGCTGGAATCAGGGAGGCTGAGTGGGTAGCACAGGGATGCGGCTGGCACTCACGGAGGCCGATGATCATACCTGGCACGGCGCTATGTGCCCACATGTACCATGATCTCACTCGGTCCCCCAAAATGCTCTGCAGAGTGGGCGACATTATCGTCGCTCCCTCTATGCATCGGGAAGCCAGGCTCCGAGGGGCTGGGAGGCCCCAGAGCTGGAGGGGGTACGGAGCTGGGATGGCAGGTCGGGTCTGCGGGACTCCAGGCCCACGCCTCCCTCGTCAGGGCAAGGATGTCAAGGACTCTTGCCACGGGTTCGAGGCTGAGCAGGGAGGACTCATCCGCTCACTGGTGTTGCCTGCTGGGCTCAGCCCAAAGAGACGGTCTCATGAGCAACTGGCCTGAAATCCTGGTGCCCCTGGTGAGGCACCATCATGGGGACATGGTCACAGCTGAGCCCGGGATAGGATCTAATTAGGAGCGCCCCCCCCACCAGGGTGAACCTCCAGCCACACCTGCTGTGTGTGTAATCAGATCCCGAATGATGGCCCCTCAGTCCCGCCCTCTCCTGGGTGAGCTGAGCCAGCCTGGGCACTCTCCCTGCCACCAGCCCTGTCCTGTCACCCCCAGAGCTCTCATGGGACTGTTTCTAAGAGAAACAGAAAGACTGTGTCAAAGGAGAAAGTATCTTCGTGGCGGCTGTCTCCGATGCCTCCTTTCATACTGGGGGCTCTGGGGACCAGAGAGGGATGGGTTCTTGCCACAGTCACACAGCATGGCGAGAGTCAGGAGCTCCTGATAGGAAGCCCGGTGCTCTTCCCGCCCACCGAGGCCGCCTCCCAAGATTGACGCCCCATTTGTGATTTCTGAAAGCACTTAACACACATCACCTCACCAGACCCTCCCAACGGCGCACTCCAGTTTTCCAGATGTGGACACTGAGGCTCCCTGACCCAAAGTCGCACAGTAGGTTGGAGGACCTGCTGGGACAAAGCAAGCTTCCTTGCTCTTCTTCCTGGCTGTCCTCTGGGGCGAGGAACGGGGCCTTTGACCCTCCGATCCCCAGAGTGGCCCTCGAACGATCCATGCCTCCCACCCCCCACGGACTGGGGCCAGACTCAGGCTGGAGAAGGTGCCGGGCTCAGGCGTAGGTCAGGGGGTCCCTCCTGTCTTGGGCACCTCACTCAGACTGCCTGTGTGCAGAGGTCTCTGGGGACAGGGCTCTGCGCCCTCTTGCAGGGACTGCCGCTCTGCCACTCAGCCAGGGGGCAGGGGAGCTGGGCAGCGAGCGGTGGACTTGGGCGGGACACAGAAGCAGGCGGTCACTCTGCCTGTCGGGGAGAGGGCTTGGGCTCGAGCCACAAGTCCACGTCCAGGGTGGCCTCCAAGAGCCAGTGGTAGCTGGAGCAGGACGAGGGTCTGAGTTCAGGGTCTGGGAGGGCAGGGAGGGCCGAGTGAGGACGCCTCTCTGTCCAGATGCCCCACACCCTGTGCTGCGGGCCCAGCAGAGCCTCCGAGAAAGCCCAGCCTGGTGAGTGGGAGAGCAGTCACTGGCGAGAGGAGCAGACATCCTGGGGGCAGCGGGGCCAGGACCCGGGGGCAGGTGCGGCAGGGGAACCCCGGCTCTGGGAGACAGTGTCAGTGCCGGGACTTGGCCGAGGAGAGCAGACAGCCCCAGCCCCCACACCCTGGGGTCCGGGCTCAGGCGGACCGCGCAGGCAGCCGGGCTGCCCACAGGACCTGAAGAACTTCCCATGGCGGTCTCCTGGGTCGCCAAGGGATGAGCTTCCTCTCAACCCCGCTCTCCCGTAACCCACACAACGGCGTGCGTCCGTCGTTGGCTCCTGCCTGCTCCCTCTGTCACTCAGCCTCCACTCCGCGGGCGGCCTCGGCCCGGGGACTCCCACTGGCCAGACAGACCGGCCCGGATCTGGGACGCTGGCTGGCAGCAGCCTCTGAAGCCTCTCATGACAGCCCTGCTTGGCTTGCTGCCAAGTGTCACTGTGTCCCCGGAAACCCCCCCTCACACACACACAGGCTCACGGCCACAGCAGTGCCGCCACCCTCACCGTGTCCCCAGAGCACCCCCCCACATACAAGGGCTCATGGCCATAGCACCATCACCTACTGCTTCACTTGGAACTGGCCATGTTTCCCCTCCTCCAGCCTGCCTCCCTGCAGACTGGTGATAGTTTCTGCTGACCAGAGCCTGTGTTTATTAGCTCTTACTGGATCCCTGGCCTGGCCTTGAACTACAGGTCTACAGATCCCCCAAGCGCCCCAAGAGGTGGGTCTACTCCCCATCGACCTGTAACTGAACAGGCTCAGAGATGGTGGGCAACCTGCCTCAGGCCGCCCAGCCAGGTTGCAAGAGCCACCAGCTGGACCCCAAAGCCCAGCGCTTAG